AACTAGTTCCTGTGTCACCATAAACAATCCATGTGCTTGAATTTGTAATTTGTTTTCAAACTGTTAACATAACAGAAAAAGGTCTTTATCTTACTGATACATGTGTAAGGTATGTAGTCAATATTAAATAGGCTACTTATTTTCTTCATACGTACGTGAGCTTTTATTATAGATCATATATCCTGACGATGTTTGTTAAACTAATATTTCTGTTTGCAGAACATCTTGTCTCTGATGATGCTATGTACTAGTGACATCTACGCACTCATCACCTACTCCAGTTTTGTGGAGAGTTTCTTCATTATGTTGTCAGTCAGTGGAATCCTGTGGTTAAGGTACAAGAGACCCAACATTCCACGCCCCATCAAGGTAATATGATCACTAAAAGATCACCGTCTGGCGTTTATCAAGATAAAAAAAAGGTTTGTCTTAAGTAAAGAGTCAAATTTGACTTAAAATCCTTTTCATGCTAGTGATTTTAAAGACAAAAACACTATCTCAGTTAACATATGAACTTCCTGACCACCATTAGACCTAAAGACAACTTTCCCTTCAACTCAAACCTTCCTTAGTTGACAATACTGTTAGAACAGTGAAATATTCTAATGTTTTGTGTATAGTGTCAAGTTTTGTGTTTCTTTTGTCAGTTTGTACAGGCCATGGTCCAAGTATCAATTTTGAGTCTTAAACGTTTTAGTAAATCTTTCATCAGTAATTTTGTAAACATACGTACTGTATGAAAAAAAATCAGAATTCGGCTTACTAAGTGTTATATTGAATTTTAGCCCCATTATTGTACATTTATGCGATATTTGTTCGAATGTGGTGCATACTAACTGTTAAGTTTTTTTATTGAAGTTTTACCATACATTTTCGTCTTATAATTTTGAAAAATTATCTTTCTACAAAAATGTTTCACATGTGAATAAGTTAATCAAATATTTAGCAGTTGATTTTAGGAGAGTTTAAATAAATATGTAGTTTTTTTTTGCTCAAACAAACTAACTATACAGGGTGACAAAAAAGTCTGGAAACGGTTTAATATCTTTTTAACTAAATTCGTTAGAAAATTCAAACCTTTTACATCAACTTATATGTATGAAAACTACTTTTTGCAATCATTGCCATTATTTGACCTTCACCAGGGGACAGCCCACGAGGAGTAGGTACATAATCTTTAATGTAAGCATAGGTTGATATGCACATCATTTTAAAGGTCTGGTCAAGTGGAGTTCATTGCCGGAAACCGCGTCCAAAAAGGTTCATCCGTTACAAAATGGCAGCTGTCCAAAGTTCTTGTGAAATATACCTGCACAGGCCTTAGTATGGGCAAATACTCGTATTAAACATAAGTTTGAGAGCTTAAACTGTATTTTAAAGTCAACTAGCTCATAGAATAATAGTATTCAATCTTCAAAACAAATTTAACCGGGTTACAGATTTCCCTGCTAATGTTGACTATGAGTATTTACCAAAACTAAGGCCTCTGCAGGTATATTCCGCAACAACTTTGAACTGCCGCCATTTTGTAACAGATGAACCTTTTTTGACGCGGTTTCCGGCAATGAGCTCCACTTGACCAGACCTTTAAAATGATGTGCATATCAACCTATGCTTACATTAAAGATTATGTACCTACTCCTCATGGGCCGTCCCCTGGTGAAGGTCAAATAATGGCAATGATTGCAAAAAGTAGTTTTCATACATATAAGTTGATGTAAAAGGTTTGAATTTTCTAACGAATTTAGTTAAAAAGATATTAAACCGTTTCCAGACTTTTTTGTCACCCTGTATATACCCTCCAACAATCAAATGACCATAGGCCTAATTAATTGTTTACTAATTTTGACATGACAAATCCAATGAACTAAGCAAAACATTGCTAGTGTTTGTAATTTTCAAAAATACCCAGGGAAATACCTTTTTATAAATACCCTATCCGCTGGGTCCGCACCCCCCACCACCCGGTCCGCATCACTAATCTGGGATAAAACAGGTGATATTCTGTTCCAGGTGTCTGTGTGGATCCCGATCTTCTTCATCATCATTTGCCTGTTCCTAGTGTTCCTCCCTATCTACTACAAGCCTCTAGAAGTAGCCGTCGCTGTTGCCATCACTCTTACCGGAGTTCCGGCTTATTTCATCGGAGTCAGATGGACCAACAAGCCTCAATGGTTCCATCAGGCACATCGTAAGTTTTTACAACACAGTAGACTCTTATCCTACCTAAACCAGCCATACCAAAGTTGGAAAATACTAAAAATACTACAAACTCTTCATCACATGTTAAAAATTGTTATATTAATCAAGATTGCCTGTTGCCAAACCTTTTCAAGGCTTTAACCCTTTGTGGACAAGAGGTTTATGTGGGTAGTATTAGCAAAACTTTGTAAAGTTAATTTGGTTTCCAGCGCATTTTTAATGACATCCATTCTCTTTAGAAAATATAATAACAGGTTATAAATTAAGAATAAGAAGGAGTTGTCTAATTTATCGAACAAGATTTATTAAAAAAAGAATTACGTGATCATTACATGATTGATTGGAATAAAATTAATTTAATTTAATTTAGGTTTAAAGATGAACATGTTACTAATTTTATTCCAGTTGGCTGTACATTAGTTAGGCAACAAAATTATACTTGAGGTTAAGTTGAACACAAATTAAACACTATTTAAGGTTCTCCACCACAATGGTAACACAACCACAATGGTGAAGTACATTGTCAAATTTGAGTGTGGTGGCTTCATACACAACACTTAAGTCCCAACTGCGCTAACTGTTGATTTCTTTGTGAGGATGTCTATTGCTTATTTGTAATGTGCTGAATTAATGTCTTATTAATGTTTGATTTTTGTTTTCATTCCACTACGTATAAGTTGAAAATGTTTAAACTTTGTTATATTGATATTCCAAACAAGACTGGTTAGTTTTATTGAGGCATAGATTGAATTGTCAATAGAATAGAATATAGTCAATATAATAATCATTTATTCAGTCTTTAAACAATACATTATTGTAATTGACATCGTCATTATTATTGTAAAAAGATATAAGATGCAATACTTTAAAATTAGACATGAAAAATCCAAAATATAGGCTGCCCTTAGTTTAACATTTAACAGGTTTAAAATAATTTAAAAATAGGCAAACTTAACAAACTTAAATTATGAATGACAGTGGGTCTTTCTTAAAAAAGGCTAATGGTTATCACAGGTGTAACAATGAACATAGAGGGACAAAATTTCTAACATTATCACAGATGGAATATGGTAAAAAACATATCAAAATAAGTGAACATGAAGTATATGAAAATTAATTACAGTATTACGAAATCCTATGGTAAAATCCTAGCCTAACTTAAAAACATTTAACATTAGCAAAAAATGAGATCACATTTGAAAAATTCCTCAATTTTGTAAAATGGGTGAGATGAAAGCCACATAGTTAATTTTCTTTTAAAGACACTTAACGGCAAGGACTTGACTTGAGGATGAAGCTTATTAAATAATTTAATACCTAAAACAAAATGACTGTTTGCAGTTTTCTGTACCTTTTCTGCCTACAGTGAGGTACATCAACTAGACCCCTATTCCTTGTAAGGGAAGGTGGTTTGAAAACGTTAAAAAAGTGTATTCTATCTAAGTAATTTGTTGTATTGAGTTTTGTTTTATTAATGTTTGACTGTATATAATTTATCAAACTGTTAGTTCCCTATAAAGACAGGCGTATTAAATTATCAAATATTTAATGGCTTCGTCTTATTCTATGTTAAAACACAAAACTATTACAGTTTCATAAAAAAAATCATCCAAACAAGTTCAGCTTAAAATTTATAATTTTCACACTTTTTTATTTTAGTTTACAAGTCACCATTTTCACCATTTACCATACATATCTGCATTTGTGAAACATGTTGGTCTTCAACACATATAAATGTTACAGAGTCCATGACATACTTTGTGCAAAAGTTGTTCATGTCGGCCAAAGAACACGTGGAAGAAGACGATGATTAACCTCTGAGAGAGAAGCAGGGACGAGAGTTAGTGAGCTGATATTCGCTGGATCTGCGACCACTCGTAACTTAACTCTAACTGTAACGTTCATCTGTAAGGTATTGTGAACGTAAAATTAACTACAATGTCAGTGTGTCGACCAAGCTGAATCTCAAGTTAATGATAGTTTGGACCAGTATTTATTTTTCTACGCCAGCATTTCGAATGAATCTATTATGTTGACTATTTACAGTTTATTATTTACAGTATGAGAATGTCATTGGTATTGTTACAGCTTTATTGACAGGTTTGGTCTATGAAAGGACTTGCTTGTAGGAGTTTTCTTGCCATTTTTCGTCTTTAAACATTTTATCCGAATCACAAAAGATTAACTGATAGACTGCAGATTGATAAGCGTTTTCCATTCTGAAAATTATTTATTTTATTTTACCCCAAACTATCTGGAATTGCAACCAAATCTACCTCAATTTCTTATTGCATCTTAATTTTGTGAAAATTTGTTTGCCTACGAGTGATAAAAAGCTGCATTTAAATAATTATAAAAAATCACAGTAATTAATACTAGTTGGAACCATAATTGAAAAAACCCCTAAATGAACATTGAGGAAAGACTCAAATGGGTGAAAGGTAAAACAATTGGAACTTTACCTAGCATTTCTTTCTAGTTTAAGTACCAATGTCAATTTATCTAAGATGTTTTGCAGTCTTGGTTTAGGAAGAAAGCAGCAGCAACTTATCTAAAATTTGAATCCATAAATGCGAGAGTAGGTTATAATTTAATTAGTATGTTGAGGGACGAAGTGTTACTTTACCACGGTAAATTTGATGAGCCACCCAAAATTCCTATATAGAATTATCAAGTATAAATGGCAAGTACCTACTTAAGAAGAACACTGTGCTAGTATTACATAGTATTTTATATCTTAGTTAAGATTTTACTAGTTTTAAACTTTTATTTAGTTTAATTGTTTCATCACCTTGAACTTAAATGTAAGATTATACAATTGCTTGTGAAAGAAAAGTATACAGTATAGGTGAGTAATCAAGGAACTTCTGTTTGTTTTATTACAAATTTTTAAGATTATACATTTTGAACATTTATGAGTAATGTGTAATTTATTAATATTTTCAAGTAAGGACACTGATTCAATGCTAAAAACATCACCTTTCCACTTGACCAAGAGATCTCGTTCAAATTCGAATCTAGTCTTAACGTGTTATTTAATTTTAGATTATTTATTATTTAAAATCAAAAATAGCTTTATGTTCGTTTTAAATATTTAATAGCAATAAATTTAAGTGTCAAAAACTCATTTAAGGATTAGTGATATAATTTGAGTGTGATTAAATTAATTTGCACAAAGTTGTACAGCCTATTGTCCAGTTCTTAGCCTATTTATACTTAGTAACCAGTGTTGTGATGATGTTATTTACTAGATACTTCATGATTTCGTTGTAAAAAAATTTGGTAAAACTGAATATTAAATGTGAAACCGGTGATTTTTTTTTTACTGTTTAAAATATGTGGTGGTATACATTTTTTAGAATTGAGAAGAACCTTGAAGGTCTACCCGGAACAATCTTTTTTTACTTAACATTTACTCTATAAATATAATAAATTGAAATGTTATATAGATAGCTATTTTAGACAATGTTTCCATTCATACACTCGTTGTCTTCCATGTTTTATACTAAATACATGAACAAAGTTTAGAGGTTTCATGTTCTTTTCTCCATTACTCAGTAGCCTGTTGTATTTTTTTAGCTATTGACTAAAATAATTTCCACTTATCATTACTACAAATGATTTAATTTTCAAGTAAAATACTGGTTTAATTTACAAATAATTCATATGTAACAGTTATAGCAAAGAATCCAAACCTATCCACCTTAAGGGACAAACTTGAGTGACATGACCCCAAAAAGAAAAAGAAGTTTAATTCTTTCTCAAAACTTTTCTTACAGTAAGAACCTTTATCCTATTGGTCCACATCTAGCCTTAATTTAGTACTGTATAACCCCGGTAATTCCCATATGGGACTGGTACCATTGTTGGAACAGTGAAAAAAGTCTAATTATCCGAAGAGCATATTAAATTACCACATTAATTGATAAACTGACATTTAATGATCGCTTGTGATCGCAAAAGACGATGATAATGGTTCCATGACCACAGGAGGCGTACGATATTTTGATACAATCGTGGGAGCTGATGATGTTTCCGTGATTGGGGGAAAAGTTTGCCTGAACACGGGAGACGACGATAATTTTCCTTTTACCGCAGGAAATATTCAAGAGTATGCCGTGATTACAGATAAAAATTATAATTTTCCTGATCGCAGGAAACAATTATGATATTTCCTTTACTGCAGGAGATATTTAGGAGTTTTCTGGGATCGCAGATGGTATTGTCGGATTAAATTAGGAGTCGGACAAACCGAGGTTGGATTATTGGGGTTCTACTGTATAGGATGTAAAAGCTTCAATGGAAGCAGGGTTACATGCTTCTGAACAAGTCATAAATAATTTATTTTCTGAATAGGTAACTACAGGAATAACATTTCAACATAAACTATCATCAACATAAACATAACAAATTGTTAGCCTATACATTTTACATTTTTTTCTTTGTTCAGTTTTAAAATTTATACAGTTTGGTGGTAAAGATCTGCCGTATTGGAATTTTCCAAATTTCAATGAATAAAATTATAAAATAGTACTTAACATTGCCTCTGTGATGATATTTATTAACTAGTCAGAAATTGTGTATGTCTTAGCTTTTTAACATGGCTGCTTCACATAAAGTATACAATAAACATTTCTTGCCAATTACTGAATTTTTATATATGTCAGTGGTACTCTATAGTTTTTGTATGGTAATTAAATAATTAATTAGAAATGAAACTAGCTTGCCGATAATTTACTTTAGCCATCTCGATCTTACTATTTTTAGTCTCAATTTAACTACCTTTCTTCCCTAGTGGATTTATGTAAAAACTATTCTCATGAAATTCAAAGTAGATGCAAATTCATACCTCTGAATAAATATCAGCTTAATACAATTTTATCTTTGTTTTATAAAACAATATTAAGTTTAGAACGGATAGTTCAGGGCTTACTAAACCACTTTTGATCGATAATTGTCAACTTTTTCTCATACACTACTTACAAAAATGGACGTGTTGTAAAAAACCTAAAAATAACCTAACTATTCTACAAAAAAAGAAAATAAACTGAAAACAAAGTATCATCCAGTTATTCAACCAACATAAAGAAACTTGCTACACCTTGTGTGGACGTGAAATATACCACAATAAAACAACATTTAGATAATATAAGTCTTATACAAATGTGTATAAAGTATTTTCTTACTAAAAGTATTTTTTCCAATTTGTTTATGTTCCAATATTTTCAACCCCAGGAATGTATCTGAAATGTGTTGTTGGGTGCGCCCCAGATCTCTTGTACCCTTTCAGATAGGGTTTCATAAACTGAGCAGTTCATATTTATCCTCAAGTAACTCTTTACTGAGACAACACTTGAAACTTCTCAAATCATTTGCATTAAAAACACAGATTTGAATTATTGAACTGATAAGTTAGCCTGCAAATTGTAGGAAAGCTGATATTTCTGGGAGAACCAGGTGTGCCATATGTGTTAAGGACGTTTTGCGTCAGGCGCAAATAGTATCATCCCTAACAAGTTTTATAAGTGTACAGTTGTATGTAATTGTTACAAACTAATAAAAAAAAAACATAGATGGAAGTATTTTACATAAATTTATAGTAATTAGATGATAGGATCCTATTAAAATTTACCTCAACATGTAATTTCAAATTATTAAAAAAGTCAAATCTCAGTGTAATATGTTATATTAAACCTGTACTTGTATCATGCATGACAATACAAAATGTCATTGGTGGCAATAGTGATAATTTATGGCCTATAGCAATGTTCTTGTAAAGCATATGTTTCTGTATATGAACACTTTGGACTGTAAAAGAAAGCCAACAAATAAAATTTTTGTAATTTATTTTGCCTCTTGCTTTTACCTAAATTATACTCTGTTTTATAATTTAGGATTTTCTAACCTTCTTTCTCAAATGTTTGATCTAGCGTTAAATAAAAATTAACTCAACTCAAATCTAATTAATGACCGTGTGCAGTAGTTAAGGTGACCAATTGATCAACTGCTAGTAAAATTTTATAAATTTTCAAAGAGAGGAGTGTCGGATCCTCAAATGCTGATCAGGTGTACAGTTTTTAAAAAATTTAACCGCTCTGTCATCGTCGGAGCCTGCCAGTACCATCAATTTGAACTCCTAATAAGCTGCTCAACGGAGCCAGGATTTTAACTGTGGCTACATAGTTGTTATCCATAGTGGTGGTATGGAAGACATCGTCTAAATCATATGTTTGACCTGATGACTGTTTGACGATGTAGATTAACCAACCACTCTAGTGTATGGGTAACCATATTTAGTCAAAATATGTTTCAAGTTGTGACTTAGTGCAGTGACTCAATTTACATAATTTACCAAGAATATACCTGAAGTACAGACTTTCCTTGAGAGCTATTGCAACATCTTATCACAAGATTCAATGTATAAGTCTTCGTAAGTGCAGAGATTATTATATCTTGAAAAACAGAGCTCTCCATCTTAGAAAGTTATAACTTATCTATTGGTTTAGATAAATTGATCATTCTGACATAGAAATATTGTAACAATTCCTGTTTGTCAGACATTTTTTCTCTATTTTTATTAGCTGAAGGTGTATTTTAAACTGCCTGTAAAAATTGAAAACATTTTATTTGGGTCAGCACTTTTAAATCTCAAGAACCTGACTATTTTAATAGACAATCTATTCAATAATCTTCTTATGTTTTGTTTTAGTAGAAATTTTATTAAAATCATAACTTAAATCTCCAATATTGTTCGAGTGCTCTACACTATGTTTATAAGTACATAACTATGAAGGATAACCATTTTTAGTTTTAGGTAGGTTTGTCCAAGGATAGTCACTGGTGTAATGACTTTTTTTATATAGTCTGGTTTTCGATCTCCAATCACAAATGGTAAAAAGCTGAGAACTTACATGTTATTTAATCAATTCACTTAAAATTTCAACAGTTTGCAGCATGATTCAGTGTTAGGCTTGGTCATGATTTGATACAGGAAGTAAATATGATTAAATACTAAAGGTGTGACAACCTCAACCTATATTTCAAAACATTTAGCAAGTTGATTAGTAACCAAATATTGATGAAAAAGTAGCCTATATTGGTCTTGCTTTGATGAGTCATCTCATATAAATAGGCTGGAAATTGTAAAATTGTCTGATCAATTAAATGAAATCCAAAAATTTGTTTATTGTAATGCAGGTAAATCCATGTAAAATGGGGTCAAAACTATTACTAAAACTTAATAAAAGAACAGTATCTATAACAATACAACATCAATTAATATTCTTCTGGAGTATAGGATCTTTGGCTACTCAACAAATCTAGGGATGGCAATTTAATTTTAAACCATTGCTGATAATGCAACAAGCTTTGCTAATAAGTACTCTATACTTTAAAATGTACTTTTTCCATCATACTGGGGATAATCCACAAGATAATAAAAGGAAATATTAACCCTTCCCATACGGCCTATAGTATGTATCTATAGTATACAGATAGCGATATTATTTTATTTTGATGGAAACTAAAAAATATATTTTTATATCTATATTTTATAGAATGTTGCAAATGGTTGACCTACGCCTCACTTTTGTCAAAAATAATTTTATTTAGGATTTTACCAAGTAATACAAAATTTGTAAAATTAAATTCTACTCTATAGTATTTTTTCCTTAATTATATTTGACCGTGGACCAAATTTTTATTTAATTACAATATAACAAAAAATTGAAAATGTGTGTGCAACATTTATAGAATATGCTTGAATACTTTTGCTGAGATTTTAAAATTTTTCCTCAATGAATACCAGTTACAAATAGGTCAGCCAAAACTGGTGATTATTCATACAGATTAATCGGGAGTTTGGCACCTTGAGTGTGGTGCTTGATGCTGTACATGGGGGGAGAGGGAGATAAGAGATTAGGATGAGCTGGGTGATAACACCTCCACAGGTAGTTAGTCTCTTCTCTTTTGGGCTCCCTTGAGGTCAAATCATGGGAGATCTTAGGTCAGTTTTAAAATTTAACTTGATAATTTTACTCTACAAAACTTGAATAATTCTAAGAGTCAAGTTTTGATATATATCTTATTTTGAATTTTAAAACCATTGTAGCTACCTGTAGGAATATTTTTTGTTTTGTGAAATGTTTTGATAACAATTAGCCATATATTTTAAAAATGTGAATAGTGTTTAGCTATAATCAAAGTATTATTATCTTTTGTAAATGTGGGCCTAGTCTTTAAACATCTTTTGTTCTTAAGTTATTGTTCCCCTTTATTTTACTGGTGTTGTTAGTAAGCTGATGAAAAATGTATACCAAAGATATACAGTATGATTGTGTATAGTAAGATTCATATGTTATTGTACTCTATGGGATGTTGTTAGTTTTTACTTCAGTTTCCCAAATATCAAGCGAGGGATGGTTTGGTTAGTAACCCAACTGTAAATTTCTTGTTTATCATGGAACTCTAACAAACAATTTAAAAGTTTATATTTTTCTATTATTTGACAATTTAATTTTGAAACCCGTTATTTAAATGAAACATTTTGCTAAGCTATATTCTTTTTTCTAATGTGTAAGGAAAATGTTCACTACATTTAAATTGATACAATGTAAATTTATTACTGATAAAAACTATTCTGTAAATTTAATTTTCAAAATATATTCTTATAATGTTCATCATTCTTAGTATTTATTTCAACTCTCCATTAAGAAAAAAAAAATTAAATATATTTAAACGTATTTTGTTCAATTATTTGTATAGTTTCTTCAATCCTTAAATATTAATTCTTTCATAATTTAAATGATTTTATTTCTAAGCATTGTTATTATGCTATTAAGCATTAATTGAAGAATGAACATGTATGCTTGAAATTAATAACAATACAGACAACAACAAAAATTCTGAAACAACAAATCTATAAATAAAGACAGTGTTAAGTTATAACTTTACGTCCTTCCCAAATATAACACAAATCACATTAATAAAACCGTCAAAAAGATCTTATAACGGAATATTCATTGAATCTTTCTTCGATTCTACTTTTAAAATTCCAGACGATCAACGGAAATGTATGAAAGTGTGAAAAAGAACATTGCTTACCCAAAATATTGTTCTCTAACAAGTGGATATAAAAAATGTTGAAATACTGTTTTTAACTCCTGATTCCAAATTATTCTAGATGTTAATTTGTAAATTGAAGTATAAATTAGTTATAACTTCCTCTTACTTTGTAAACAAATTTTACTACATTGATGTGTTTTATTTTTTTCATTGTAGTCACAATCATGAAAAATAAAGTATTAGGCTATACCATTTTTGGTAGCTTTAATTGTTTTTTTTTATGGAATTAATAAGGTGTACAACAACGATGACTGTCACTTCAAGTTGATCATATGTTATCAGTATCATAAAAGTCAACAAAATGTAGGAAGAAAAAAATGTTAAAGGATTCCCTTTTTATATATTTACTTGTTGATATTCAATTCCCATTTTCTTAAATTGAAAAAATATACTCTCATACCACCAAAAAATGTAAAATTGGAATTTTTTGAACAAACACTTCCCTTATGGAAAAATTGTGCATAAATACAAAATTTGTAAATAAAATTGTTTAAACTTCTGTAAGTATAAATTGGAATTGAAGTATAATCCGAATAAATAAAAAATGTTTAATAAGTTGATTCATAGCGTTAGATAGAAGTGGTTATAATCAAAGTTATATCAACAAGCTTCGTTACAAGTTATAAGTTTCCAATGAACATTTTTTTGAAGTTTTTCATTTTTTATAGAGCGTGTCTAAATAAATATGAATCACCCGTGATTAGGTTGGAAACTGATTAAACATGTTAAAAAGGTGTGCAACCTCTTATGACTAGTTTCATATGACTAACATTTTCAGGTTGTGACCTGTTGGGTCTCTTGTACTTTTTGTAGAATATATTGTAGAAAAATGATCCTGTGACCATTAGCGATTTGAATTTCGCATCAGTTTTTAGTTTAAACTTACCACGACCTTCAATAACAATTAAGATATATTTTAAAGGAAAGCTAAAATATAACATAACTTATTTTTTGCTGTTTAGAAATGATTTTGTATAATAGAGTTCGGATAGTTTTTCTGAGAAAATAAATATACTAACAAATAAAAGATCACAATACATAATACTGAAGTATTAACCTAATATAAGACTTCTTCAGGAAGTAGATTTAAGAATCTTTAAGAGGTATTAAAATTTATCTTCAATCTACAATTATTTATTTTTCTTAATATCTTAACGCACCCTTTAATTATATTCATGCATTGATTATATTCTCTGGAAGGGCCTTATTTAAGATGTAGTAAGGTTTTCTCATTAGCAAGTCTACTCTTTGAGTTGTTTTCTTGTGAGATCCTATATGAAAGTTCAATGATATTTCTGTAGCTTGCAGCTGGGGTAATTTTTTCCTTTCTGGCTCTTTGGATGGTGGTGAGATGAGTAGAAAGGTGCGTCCATGACGGATCATGTATGTGTCAAAGTCTCTTTGCGGATTGGAGTTCTTTATTATGATTGCCATCCCAGAAGACTCCCTCTTATCTCGATTCCTTCTAAACAGTAATAATTTTAACCAAATTACACTCGGCATAAGTGACATCTTTTTAACTGGACAATTTTTATCAGCACATGGGACTGGGTCAGCAGGAAGTGGGGGGTACTGAAACGACTTTTCTCATGAGAAAGATTGGAGACCAGTGATCAGGTGTCTGAATGCAATGCTTTCCCAAATTTAAGCTAAATATTTCATTTTTGAGTAATTCCCGTGACATGAATCGGGGATGTTTGTTTAACCGGAAAACCTGTTATCCG